AGTCGCTTTTGGGCTTATTTCACCTTTTATCTGTTGATCCCAGGCGAAATCGTGCTGTTTAAAGTTGAGAATGGAGTTGACTTCAGTTGTATTTGAATGGCATTTTTGGAGAAGACAAGCTATGTTTTGCGTGTCTCAAACTTATACGAGGAAAAGTCATATTTTCCGTTATGTCTGCCGGTTGAAGTAAAAGTCAAGCGTAATGGGCGGGGTGGGGGAGAGAGAGAGACAAAAAGCAGCAGAGATGAGTGTTGTTTGCCTGCTAACCGTGCCATCGTAGTAGTAATTGTAATGGCGAATTAGGGATTTTTTTTTGGTGGTGGTGGTGGTGGGGGGGGTGTTACAAAAAATCTATTTGCTGACTTGGAGAACATCTTATCCAGATAGTTACATTGTTTACTAGTGTTTTAGAGATTTGAAATTTGTGATTTTGCTCTTTTCATCGGGTCTAATCACAAATTTTGTAACTGTAAGTTGTTTTTGTTGAGCGTGGTAGGGGGTAGGTAGAGCAGAACCCGGATGTTACTTCCAAAAATTTCGCGCTATAAATATAGCAGCAATCTAATAGAAAGATTGTGGAAATATTTTTCAGGTAAGTTACAAGTGATTTCTTTATCCGTACTCTATTATAACATTTCTGATATTATTATAATGACATCAAAAACTTTATTGAAAAGACTAAAACTTAGTATGAGTTAAAAATTCGAATAATTTTGGTAGGCCTGAAAATGGCCGATTTTAATGCCAAGGGACATAATTCAGAATCTAATGTTGATTTTTATCTATATAACAACTGCGAGTGTCAGTGTGTCACACTTTTTCACCTTTACTCCGAGAGGAAGTATCCTGTGGAATAATACACGGTACCTTTCACCCCTCTTTGCAGAACAATCCATTGTTACACCCACACACCTGTTATCCAATCAAAACACTAGTTCTGACAAACTTCTCATTGTACTAAGTATACACGTGAAAAATCCCTTTGGCGCTCAAATGTGTTTGAGCCTAATTTTCCTTTCCAGAACCTATAAAAAAAAAAAAAAAAGAAATTTGAACCACTTCAGTCAGATTTCCACACTCAGAGAGATGCCAACCAATTCCACGCCAGTTTAAACTGACTTTCCCGCGCGAATTAACCTCTGACCCAGCAACTCTTTGGCATACTCAATCTCTCTTTTAAACAAACTTCTCAACAAATCACTAATTCCTAACTCATTTGTATATATTTAAATAAATTGTATAAATTACCGTATTGTTGTGCATTTTACTTGCCTTTGTTTTTTAATCTGCTTTGCATGACTCGTTCTAAATATTCGTTTATTATTTGTTGTGGCTGAATGTTAACGAACACGCCACCTAAAATAATTCCTTCTGATTTAACTAGATACATTTGTGGGGTTCAGCGTACCCGGATTAAAGGAGAATTTAATACGGGATACCCTGCCCACAAAATACAACGCAAATTTCAAGAAGAAACAACACGATAAGGAACGTTTATAAAAAATAGAACATTGTATATTTATTATCTTGTGAATAAGGTAAAAAGGATTAATGTTTTAGTTCGTTTAAGCAAAATTGTGATTTTGATGAAAATGTCTGTATTCGTTGTCTTTTAACAGAGTAGCAGAATAATGTCCGTTTCTTTTGTTTTTTTTATAGCTGTAAAATGAAAAAGGGGCGAGCAATTTAAGTTAAAAAAAAAAGAGTGTGAATGTGGAATAAAGATGAAAGGAAAATGTACTTATGAATTGTTTTGAAGCCAGTTGTAAATTTGTTGTTGTTATTGTTCCTTCCTACTCCACTTTTCGGGTAGAGTCAGTGATGGAATTTACTGTCAATCTTCTGTGATCTTTTGCGCCCTTCTCTGACGGACTGACTGACTGGCGACTGACTTGAAAATTCTGTATTTATTGTTGACTTTTTTTTCACACTGGCTCGTTATCTTTTTTTTTTTTTTGGTTTAACAAATCGCCTCCTTTCATTGGTCAGAAAATTAATTTCACACCTTGTGAAATCTTTTTTTTGGTCGTTTTGATCCGATTTTGCGGGTGTGCAAATCTACTTTGTGTTTTTTTTTTAGTCATTTGTTGGAATATAGGATTTGTATCCTATACATTTCACTAATCCCCAACAAGCCCAATATATACCATTTTGGAATCAGGCCGACTCCATGAGAAACCTTTTCTGACCGGATTCGAACCCACAATCCTGAAATTTTGGATTCTCAAGTTTTCATTACTGCCATTGTTTTCGGCGATTTTTTTGTGACGAATTTTTGTACGATAACATTTTTTTATAACTCTGAAATAATTTTAGGAATAATTGAAATTAATTACGAAATCCAGCGAAAGTCTACCATTAAATAAAAATAATTGTTTGTACGGAAAGTAAGGACCTATGTACATTAAACTGTTTTTAAATTAAGTGGCGGCAAAAGAATAATCGTTGAACTTTTAAAAGTTCAACTTAAGTTAACCATTAATGCAATATTTAAATGCAGCGATCAATTTTGAGTTCTAGGTTTATTGTTGCCTATCGCATCTACTAATCCCTACCTATTGTGATGAAGGTCGAATCAAGAACCATTGGCTTAATAAAAATCAAGTAGCTGTAAAATGAAAAAAATAAACAGAATTACTTTAAAATGTTCACACACAAAAATGGCAATAAAATAAAGATGTGTTTTTTCCACTCTTCAAACACATCTTTATTTTATATCAAGTTTATCAGCAACGACCAAGACCCGAAAGAGTTTTAAAAAAATACGGTAAAAAAAAAAAAAAAAAAAAAATTAGAAACAAACATTCATCAGGGATTTTTTCCCTGATGAAATAAAAAATATACAGTATATTTTGGTGACACCAGCTATCAAAAACAGCAACTCTCAACAAAAAATAAAGTTTGCTTGAATTTTTTTCTTAAAATTTCGGGCCAGATTTTCGATGCGTTTTTGTGGAGAAACAAACCTAATCAAGCAGGAAATGAATGCTTCAGAGTTGAAAATGCGAATAACGAATACACGTCCGCGTGAAGGTAGGTTCATCCCAGAACTTCCGTTCCTTTCAACTTAGAAAAGAAAACGAAATTCGGATCGCATATTTCAGTCAGTCAGAGAAATGACCACATACCTCTTTGTTTGCTGGTGTTCTGCATGTCGACCTCCCTCTCTCTGACAACTATATGCCAAAAGGCAGAGTTTCGTCTGGGGAGGTATAAAACTCAACTCCGTTATTACGGGGTCTACGGGGAATTTTTACCTCACGTAAAAATTGGCCTTGTGCCACATCCTGCCTTGTGGGGAGGTCTTGTAAATACCGAGAACTGCTCGCCTAAAAGGTTGGATAGACGTTTGATCCAGCACCTATTTCATCAAAGTGTACATAAAGGAAAATAGAATTAGACCCAGGGTCTTTTTTCAATCACTGCTACTGGAAGCTATGTCAATCATTTTTGCGATGCATTTTCTCAAGTACCCAACACGTGCAACTTAATTAAACATTCTTTTCTCTCATACATACAACTACAGAAGTATTATAAACTACTAAACATTCAATACAAAAATAGAACACATAAATTAATCTGACATTTCTTACTAACACTCGTACAGACATTTTTGAACAAGAGGAACTTTACTCACTTGTCGGTTAGCTCCCTCTCAGTTCCTTAACCCTTCACCAGGGGTCTCTCTCCCTTGGCTATAAATACTGGCTGACCCTTCGCCTCGATCTCTTTTTTCCCCAGGCCTTGGGCCTTACCACCTCGCAGATGTGAGCTCTCACAGCTACAGCGTTTCCCAAATTCTGGGAACACGCTAAAAACAATACACGTACGTACGAACACTCACCACAACACACACATAATATTCACCGCACGCACTCAATCTAACTGTCCATGTCCTTGTACTTGTTGTTAATACATATATTTGTTTACATATATTTATCTGTCTTGTTTGTTTTCTTTGGACTTAATTAAAGTCCAATATTCTCATGTGGTTGGACCGGCTAGCAGGAAAATTTAACTCACGTGTGTTTTACATATCATATACCAGAACTGTTGTTATATAAAACCACTGTTATTGAATGCTATTTCCATTCTCTGTGTTCATTTAAATCTATTTGCTGTGGAATTATCACAGAGGCCTTAATCCCGCAACAGATTCATGGTCTATATTAAATAATTTTTAGTGAACATCTTCAGAGAGTTAGCTCTATAAAAATAATATATCGGATTTTCCGGTTTACAAGACGCACTTTTTTCCTAAAAAATACCCTGAAAAACGTGTACGTCTTCCAAGACGAATGTAAGGCAACGCCCAGGCTCAAGTAAGCTTAGACGGTCACCTAATTGGCTTGATTGATAAGGACGTGGCTTTGTATGTTGAGTCATTACACTAATGTTAGCTATCTAATTCAGCCTTTTATATTATGTAACCTTAGTACTTAGCTTTTACAAGTATTTTCAAGTCTATAAACCTTACAGGAGCCGAGTCGCAAGCTTAAACATCCTCTGTTTACTAGCAATGACTGGAGCCTTTTCCGCTATTGACTAGTATGTCATTGTCATTCAAACAAAATCGGACGAGTGATTAATGTAAACAATAAGTGGCGACAGTATTTGAGGGACGCATGGTGAATTTGTTGTTGTACGAGAATGACTTTTTTTTTCGTAGAAATTACTTTCCAATATTAAAAACGTCTTCCAAGTCGCAGCATTTTGTAAGCCGGAAAATACGGTACTTGGGAAAGTCCAAAACTCACTAGTACAGATTAGCCACGCGTTAAGTAAAGGTGAGATGGGTATAAGTTAGCTAAAATAAAAAAAAAAAACAAAAACTACTACATAGCGTAAAAATAAAAGGAAAGTCAATATAAAGATTATTCATTAACGAATAAATTGCTGAAAATTTAAATGAAACCAGATCTTTTTTTTTTTGCCCCGCGTCAAAAGGGCGCTCGATTTTGCAGGTACCTAGTTTTTATCTCTCAAATTAGAATTGGCTAACGGCCACATCAAGTTGAAACTCCGGTTTCCATACAATCACCGAAGTTAAGCAATGCCGAGCTTGGTCAGTACCTAGATCGGCGACCATTTGAGAATACCAAGTGTTGTAAGCTTGGATAACGGCTCGGAGTTGTTAATCGGAGAGCCGTGTTTCCATTCCAGTTGGGTTCGCTATATTCATTTCCGCGCAAAAACACTTGGGAAAGATATAAATCGACCTTCCATCTATGGTTTAATTATTAGTAAAACTCGTATCATTGAAAACATTATTTCCAAAAAATAAAATAAAACTGGGTACAAAATACAGTATTTATTTAGATTTCGTCATCAAATAACCCACAGAGGTTGATATGCCGTTCGGCTAAAGAAAATCAACCGAATTTGTATGAGCATATTAAAATGGTGATGAAGTTTCATCATAAATGAGAGATTGGGGAGTATTTTTCACTAATTTAATGAGAACAATTCAATAGTATTAAATGTTTTGACAATATATAATATAAATATATAAAACTAACAAAAATTAAACTTTAAAAGGAGCAAGATAATTTCAAGGGAAATAATTCAGAAAAAATATAGAAAAGTCATTTCCCTTTATTAAATATATATATATATATATATATATATATATATATATATAAACTTGTAGATTTTAAATCTGTTTAAAAAAAATTAACGATAACTTTCTTTTTAAATTGCCATATTAAAAAATGTTCAGTAAATAAGCGAGAGTGATTCAATCATAATTATATTTCATAATTCTATCATTTCAGTTAGTAATTTCAGCTCGTCTCATCGTCGTCAAAGACTACAGCTTGTGATTTGTTTTAAAATTAAATTCACCCTGTACAAGGCCCAAGAGCCATTCGAGATAGACGGTTACAGAGTAAGAGATACAATTTATGGGGAAGATAACGGTTGGCCATAGACATGAACAAGTTAAGATTTTAGTGATCGGGGAAAGATTCTCTTGGCAGTGAGTTTCACATCCTGCCCTGAAAAATACTTCACTGAAGAGTTACCCCCCCCACCCTGGGCACTCCAGATATGTGTGGTCATACACATCGTACCAGCAGGTATAGCCTAGTGTTCACAGGGATAAAAACATACATAGAAATAACTCTAAAAATGTTAAATTGTAAATTAAAATCATACAATTTTATTGATGCTTGTGTACTGGAGTTTGTGTATTTTAGTCGCATGTGTTTTAAGGTTGCATGTGGTGTTTACTCATCCCCCCCACGAGAATGAAATGTGACGCAAGGTCGGATTAATGTGGGGAGCCGAGCACGTGCACCCGGGCAGGGTCAAAAATTCCCTTCAGTCCCCGCAACCGTCGGTTGCGCTGGCCTCGGTGCGAGCACCGATCCCTCACTCTTGTGCAATGGGAGGGCGCGGCCTCGGGCAGCTGTTCCCCAGGGCAGGGCACCTCTTCAGTATAATTTTCCTCAGTTGCCTCTCTGTCCTTTGACAGAGAAGCCCCTGAGCGTACTCTGTCCAAGGACAGAGACGCAACTGAGAGCTAAATAATACGTACAAATTACTTAGAGTAATTTATTTTAGGTTGCATGTGATAAAAGAAGAAATTCACTTCGTCTTATAACAAGCAATGAGCCGAGGAGACATAAACGTCTTGACCCGCCAAGAATCAGTAACGAAGAGAATGAGCGCTTTTTTGGCGCGAAGTCCATTTTCAGACAGGAAAATTTTCTGTTGCATGCTGAGATAACTTTTTTGGCATTCCGCTACCACTTTTTCGTCAATGTCGATTTTTGTGCAAAAAGCGGGCCACATCTTCATCATACATATTTTCAGAAAACCTTACTTCTCATTGGACAATAAATATTAAAAATTATCTTGTGTATCTTCACGTACATAGTTCTCAATCAGTAAAACAAAACATATCAGGCTCCAGACGGAGTAACACGCTTTCTGAGTGGTTAACAAATGTTAAAAATACAATTTACATGTTCACAACTACGTCAATCTAGTTTCTGACCTGACGAAAATAAATGCTTTTTGGAGCTTGTCACGTGAATAAAAAACATATAAATTGAAATGTACGAGTGAACCCAGTCAGCGAGAATTTACAACGACTAGCATTTTCTAAACGACGCTTGTATCATTACTGCAGTGAAGTACAAAGTTAGAATCTCAAGTTCTTTAACATGAATTAACTTCACTGTAATTGAAGCTAAAATTTCAACTAAACAACTCACCAACTTCTGGAACTTACTAAAAACTATTAAATCACACTATTGAATCTTACGAAACTTAATTACAAACATTACGACCAATACATTCAACTACGAGCAACGAAAACAAATTAAACATTACGGAACATTCACTCTTCTAACTTCTTTAAAGCTTGTGGAATCTTCCACAACACAACCAGCCTTACCTCTTTGTAGGAAATGCACTCTTCCTATCTGGTAAGCCAAATTCTACTTTCATACAATATAAGTATTCATTGGTCATTCCTCCAATCTGGTTTGCTGATTGGTCAGTTCCGACCAATCAAACCGCCTGCACGCGCGACCAATCTGTTTTCCCGTTCATATTATAGGGAGCCACTTGACCATTATATAAACCGAACACGTGTGAACTTTTTTGAGTATTAGTTACCAAGTGCCAAGATGTAACCTTCACAAACTCCCGTCTTAGTCATTTGCCGACCAGACGTTAAAGAGAATTATCAACATTCACGAACTCTGAAATCACTCCTAAACTTTTACCAACTTTAGAACTCACAATTCTGGATACCTTTTCCTGATTGACACTGGAGCCCAAGTCAGTGACAGCACAACAGAGAAATTGCGAACTTACTCCACGTCGTTCGAAACCAGATTTTGCCGCGCAAAAGTACATCAACGCTGACTCACTCACAATTCAAACTGAATCAACTGTGGACATTATTTCTCAGATATTGCTTATCCAAAGTGAATTACATTCACTATCTATTAAGTAAACATTTATGTGCGAACGACCTTAAAAATATTACAGTAAAAGGTAAATTACTTAAGAACTTTCTGTTAAAAAGACACTTAATATTAACAACTTTAATATCAACATTAACGAACGATTACAAGAAAGACATTCTGAAACCTAAAACATCATACACATTTGCCAACATAACATATACCAAATATTCTGCTTGTATATTGTTTTGAATTGTATATAAATGTTTTATTAGTTTCTAATTAAATATGCCTTGTTCTTAATATGAACTCTGGTACAAATATTTCCAAATGGAAGGGACACGACTCTGTCCTACCTTTCCATTGCATGCTTGTACATCAACCTAAATAAATCTAATTGTTACGTTTTAAAAAAGTTGAATATTGTATTTTATTTTGATGTTAGTGGAAATAGTTAATTGACACGCAACCTATTCTCAACAAATATTACCACATAATTAACCCATCCACTACAAGCTAAAAATTTATAAAGGACCGTGTGTGTATTTACGTGTTGTATTAGAAACCCGTGTGTAACTCCTGGTAGAATATTAAAAGGTTCAACTACAAGAAAATTGCCAGACTCAAGTTAAGTCCAACTAAAGATAAAGAAAACAAACAAGACCGATATATAAACAAATATATGTATTAACAACAAATTACAAAGTACATAGACAGTTAACATCTGTTTTTGTGTGAACATTCGTGTTTGTTTTTTTTGGTGGATGTTCATGGCGTCCCCCACAAAATGGGAAAACGCCGATTTTCTAAGAACTTACATTTTGTCGCTGAAATGAAGAGAGATTTACCTCACCTTCACGCGAGGTGGGATTCGGCACGTGGCCTGAAGGAAAAAGAGAAAGAGGCAAGAAGTTTCCTAATATTTATAGTATAGGGAGAGAGACCCCTGGTGACAATATGGGAATTAAGGAGGGACTAACTCCGACAATACCCACTTCAGCTTGAAAGTTGTAAGAAACGAAAACTTTTATGTAAGCTTTGAATATTGTCCTTGTGAACTGAAAACAAAAGGTGTCGGAAGTGTGGTTGAGATGCGTGATTCGACGAAATATTTTCAGCTTTACAGAATTCTTTAAACTCTCTGTGAACATTTTGAGCGACAAGTTAATTCAACTTTTTATGAGCTCAGGTAAAAAAATAGTTCATTAGTAAAGTAAGAATTTAATCAGTTAAAGGGAAGTAACTCCTATTAACAATTTATGTAAACTCGCTAACATATATAAATATAAATATTGTACCTGTTAGAAAAGTTATTTTCTTGTGTTCTTTCTCTTGTTTGCTTTTCACATTCGTAAAGTAAAAATGTACGGGTTGATAAATCAACCCGTACAATACCGCTACACTTTTATCATTTGGGTTTTATTTTTTTAAAAAAAGTCTCAGTGTTATTTTATTTATTTATAATTATAATTTTATATTATTATTTAATAATAATAATAATAATTACAGACCATTAACAAGACAGTTTCAAAGTTGATGCCAAACCAAAGGTATTCCCTGATGTGCCGTACCATAGAATGAATTTTCGGTACACAAAAGCCAACTGGAACAGCTTCAGATTTTACAGGGGAATTGAAAGGAAATTCGGAGTTAACAAAAAAAAAAAGAAAAAAAAAAAGTAAAATAAAATGACCAAGACAAGTTGATGAAGTAATATGGGAACGAAAATAAATTTTAAAATTTAAGGAAACGTACATTAGATTCTATTAAGCAGTTTAAATAATAGATATCGCAAACGTATATACACAGGTGTATGTATATATATATATATATATATATATATTATATATACATGAACAGCGGAAGATGTCCTATGTATAATTAAAATTTTGATTTAGTCCCGTTAGCCAGGAAACGAAAAAAAAAGGGTTCTGTAAAATCATTTTTATTTTTACTTTTTTTTATCCAGCGTTCACAAAAGAAAATAATCAATTAAATAAACAAACAAAAAATTTTAAATTTAAATCACTGTACCTCCCAAGAAAAATGATGAACAAGATTGATCAGTTCACTTGTTGAGTTAAATCTTTCAGCATTGTGATGAAATAAATATAAATTATATTCTAGAGCAATAGTAATATTTCCACGTGAGATTGTTTCGGTATGATAAAGTTGTTCATTCCAAGTTCACAT